ATGACCTTCTGATCTCAAGGTTCAGCCCCTCTCTGTTCCTGCCTTGACTGTTATCTTAAGGTGTCCGCAGGAGACAAAGCCTGGCTATTTAGGCTGTTTCAGTTGTTACTTACATTTCAAAGAGCAAAATGGGTGCTGGTTCTAAATATCTAACCTAGAACCCACCTACCCTCTGTTTCAGGATATGCAAACAGGAGGCTAGTTTTAAGTGTCTGGTCTGAAACCCACCTTTTTCTTGCCCCAAGAAATATAAACCTGGAGGCCAGTTGTAAATATCTAACCTGAGGCCCAATCTGCCCCTCAGTGACATGAAGAAGTTATTTCAGTTATTTCACTCTAGCCAGAGACTTATCTTATTCTTGTTTCCACTTGTCACTATGAACCCCAGTAGAATTGACTCAGAGAGTGGGGCTGCTTTGAGGTGATTCCTCTGATGAAGACAACAGAAATAAATGATTAATTCATCTAGAAGCAAAAGAGTGTAAACAGTGTGTCCTTCCTGCTTTAGCTTCAATGCTTTGAAAGGATGTTGCATCTGGGATGGGGTGATCTAGGTAGTAAAAGAAAACATTAAAGTCTAGGACCGGATTAAAAACAAAAGAAAACAGAAACTGTGTCTTCCCATTAGAATCTTAGGTTCTGGGCTGCACTGAGAGGTAACTGGCTTCAGTGCCCCTTTCCTAAGAGGGACCACAAACCCCAGCTAAGACATGGAGGAGGCAAGTTACCTAGAGATCGTAAGGTGATGCACCTTTTGTAAGAATAATGATAGCCTCCAGGTATTGGATTGTGTGTTTCCTGAGGCTAAGTGGTTTACTGAATCTCTTGACAAGGCAATCCTCTTTCTGATTCTTCTGTCCTCAATGGAGATGGAGAAAATGTGACAATTTTTCAAATTTCAAGTAAACATTTACATAACTGCTGGAAAACGTGAATACCCCATTGTACTCTGCCCTGCTCAACACACACACACCCCTCCTAGACTTTTATCAGAAACAAACCTGACAATAAGGAACAAACTCTTTGAGTACAGTCCCATTGTCTCAGGTGACCCAGGTAGAGTGATTTTTCAGTTAATGTGGAAAGCCTTCAGTTAATGTGGAAAATCAGGCCTGGACAGAGGTCTAGTGTTACTAAATCAAAAGAAGCAGGGTTAAAGCTACATCGACAAGAGAACACACTCCTTATATGGACTAGACAAGGTAATCTCTGGAAGGAAGAACTTTCTTCCTTCTGTTTGCTTTTAGGGAACATCAAAAGGCAATCTGGAGGCAGATCTGTGAGCGGTGAGGCACCCTCATCGAATGTCCCTTCACAGGAGAATGCACCCTATAGAAGGATTTTACAGAAGGGTATCAGAGAAATCCTCCATTGGCATCTAGCTGAAACCAGAGGTTGCAGAATATTCCAGGCTCAACAGCTGGCTGGCACTAGGACTCTACTTCCTGGCAGGAATTGTAGGGAGTGATAGAAAGGGGAAGAGGAGATACAGAAGACTAGGGCCCAAATAGAAGAGGAGATGACTAGAAGATAAGGAAACAGAGAAAGGTTAGGAAGGTAAGAAGCCTTCGTGGGGATTCTAACAGTTCTCAAACATGGATGACTTACTCCTCTTCTGAGAATTAAACAGAATCTTAGCTTTTTTTTTTTTTTTAAATGCCACAATTTCTGTTTCAGCCCTTAACTCTCTACTTCTTTCTTTGAAATCTTCTCCCAGTAGAGATCAGGGAAGGTGAGAAAGTAGAAGGAGAGGCAGGCATGCTACATCTGGTGGCATCTGTTCTGTCCCACGATGGATTGCTGGGTAGGGAAGGGCCACAACCAGCCTGAGGGGAGTAAGGTGATTCCCTGTCTCATCTGACTGCTGCCCCACCCTCCCAAGAGGGTCACAGGCTCCTAGCAGTTTCAGACTTTTACTTAATAGCCATAAACTCTGTCAGGGATTTGAACCTTCACAAATGTACTTATGTTGTTTACTGCATATAATATGAATTACTGCATCCTACACAAATTATGGGGGCTTTCCTGGTGGCTCAGTGGTAAAGCATCTGTCTGCAATGCAGGAGATGTGAAGACATAGGTTCAATCCCTGGGTTGGGAAGATTCCCTGGAGGAGGAAATGGCAACCTGCTCCAGTATTCTTGCCTGGAGAAACCCATGGACAGAGGAGCCTGGTGCACTACAGTCTATCGCAAAGAGTAGGACACCACTGAGCATGCACGCGTGCATATTATGAAGTGTTGCACTCAATGCATAGTATGAATTATTGCATACTTCGGCCTCATCTGCTGCTTCTCTCCTGCAAAATTTTATTCTCCACAATTTTGAATGTCTTACAGTTCTTCAAACCCACCATGATCTTTCAGGCATCTATACTTGTATATGGTCTCCTCCGCCTGAAATGTTTCTTTTCCCCTTTGCTGTAAAATGTATTTATCCAGGTTTGTGCTCATTGCAGCATGTAATATGTATTCAGGAAATGTTTATGAAATGAAGGAATGAATGACTCCTTCATCACCACAGAGTTAACCACTCCCTTCTCTGTACTATCTCAGAACTTTTGGTACCTGTCAGTAGTTTCACTTACCATGCCACATTGCATATTTATGTATTTTTCAGCCACAAATTTTTTTTTTCACCACCATATCGAATTTATTATTCCGTTGACACTATTACAGCTGAAGATGCTCATGGTGACGTGGCACAAAATTTCCTGCCTTCTAATTTCAAGGAGAATGTCTAACCACTTGTTATTTCCTCCTGTCTAGGAGAAAATCGACAACAGGCCACTTACCCAAATAAACCTCAGCGTGTTTATTTAAAATTTCTTGGGGTGGGAGAATTTGAGTTTACCTCTGAAGAAATGAGAAAGAAAAAGTGTTGAGTGTCTGCAGGGGTTAATAGTCAGCCGCCTGTTGCTCTGGCTAAGCCATGAGAAAATCACCATGGGAAAAGAATAAAAGCAAAATATAGCAATACAGCATAACCCACATAAAAGTACATCGGTTGATCAGTTGGGGTTGTCATGCCCTGTTAAGCTAAGAGAAAACATAGTGCGGACCTTGGAACGCCAGGTTAGCGCAAGTTCAGAATGCTGCTTGTGCACACACTAAGATGTTTTCCCAAGGCATACGCAGGTTTATGCGGAGAAGGCAATGGCAACCCACTCCAGTACTCTTGCCTGCAAAATCCTATGGATAGAGGAGCCTGGTAGGCTGCAGTCCATGGGGTCGCTAAGAGTTGGACGTGACTGAGCGACTTCACTTTCACGCATTGGAGGAGGAAATGGCAACCCACTCCAGTGTTCTTGCCTGGAGAATCCCAGTGACGGGGGAGCCTGGTGGGCTGCCGTCTATGGGGTCGCACAGAGTCGGATACGCCTGAAGCGACTTAGCAGCAGCAGCAGCAGCATGCAGGTTTATGACCTCCAGCTAGGTGATAGCCCTTGTACAAGAAAATAACAAAGATAATTTAAAGTAATCAATAAAATGGGAAATGTGATCAGGGGCACTAACTCTCTGCTTGCAAGCAGATACTCTCTGCTTGCCAAGACACTAAATAAAAGTGATGCGGCTCTGAGGAACAGGGGTCTTAACCCAAGAGGTCTTGAGTCCCCTGATCCCATCTTTAAAACTTTAATTCTGTCTCTAGTTTCTTTTCCCCAAAGTGTGCGGCGACCACTTTCGATCTCTACCTACTGTGCTGGCTGCAGCTGGTGTCACCTCCTTTCTTCCACCTCCACTGGCCAAGTAAGTACTTTCTGCAAAGGCATTTCTGTTGCTCTGAAATCTTGAACCAGATATGGAAAGAAATGGCATCAAATGTTCATGATGAGTGGGCTTCCCAGGTGGCTCAGTGGTAAAGAATCCTCCTTCCAGTGGAGAATTCCCGGGTCAGGAAGATTCCCTGGAGTAGGATGTTGGCAACCCATTCCAATATTCTTGCCTGGAGAGTTCCATGGACAGAGGAGCCTGGTGGGCTACAGTCCATGTGGTAGCAAAGAGTCAGACACAACTGAGTTTCTAAGCACACTAGCTGGTGCATTTATGATGAGGGTGGTACCAAGTGGGCCCCAGAAACCCTGCAGGCGGGGCATCTTAGGTCTGGACAATCTTGTGAGGGGTCGTGAGGAGATCCAGGGCTTGCGTCTGTGCCTGGGGGCTGAGCCGCTACAGGAGGCCACTGACATCTGTCCTGGAAGTTGTCTGGGACTGGAACGCCTCCCTTCAGGCGTTTGTGCCTGCAAGTCTCCCCCACGACCTGCTGGGGCAGCTGGTGTGCTCCAAGGGGTCTGCGGACAGGATCTGGAGGTGCCAGGAAGGGGAAGGCTTAGCTGCCGGTGTGGGCCCTCAGGTCGGCGGTGAAGCCAAAGGACTTGTCGATGTGGCTTCTCGTCAAACGGGGGGTGCCGGCCACCTGGGACTCCTCGAAGACGTGGTCCCGCTTCCTGTGCAGCACAGTTGGATGCCACTAGGCCCTTTTGCGGACACCGACTCTCAACAGGTGAACGGACTCCATGGCCCGGGGCAGGCGGTCAGCATGCAGCGCTGAGGCAGCGCCGGGTGTGGGAAGCCCTGTGTGGATCCATGTGCAGCCTCAGACTGGGGACGCGGAAGCAGACGCCCCGTGAGTGCTCCTCACAGCTCCGCCGCTTGATGGCCGGCTGCCGTGCTGTCCCGATGGGTGTCACTGAGGTAGTACTGGGTGACTTGCGCTCGAGAGCCCAAACCGGGGGCCTCCGCATTGTCTCACTCGCACTTTCCGCCAGATTGAGACCTGCTACTGGGGCTCCTGAAGGGCAGACACCTCTCGTCAGCGTCCTTGGCTATGGAGTTGGGGAGGAGCCGCGCTTTTGTGTCCAGCCGGTTCTGCTTGTTGGGAGCTTTGGACGGGCACAGCATGGAGGGACTCCTCGCTGATGGTCTCGCGGTGCTACACGACCGGCTAGGATGTCCTGGTGGAAATGCCAGTGAGGTTCTTCTCTCGGTCCTTCAGGCAGATCAATAGGTGCAGCTCATCACCCCGTTGATGAAGCGATCCCCTGATTCGTCAGTGATGAGTTGCACCATGCACTCTGGCTTAGCTGCCCTCTTCAGCCCCTCCACCGGCTTGGGCAGGTCGGCCAGTTCTTGGCTTCTGTGGGAACTCTTAACAATGGGGTTCACGCTGAACTTCATCACCTGCATGTTGTAAGCGTGCTCAAAGATGCTGATGGTTCCTGTCTTCACCAGGGACTGGCCCATAGCCATCAGACCTACAGTGTTCTCCCAGGGCACGTCCCTGATGAACTTTACATAATGCTAGACAGATTCCTGATGGCCGGTCGCTTGATGGCTCTCTTGGTGTCTCAGCTGATGCCTGGCCTTGAAAAATACACAGCCTAGATCATAGTCAGCAGAAGTCTTCCCAGTGGGTAGAACACTCCGTGGTCTAAGGTAGGAAGAAAAGCTAAAGAAACCATGGGTTTGAAAAAGACCTGAGGACAGCATGGGGGTTAAATGACACTTGCAAAGGGCTGTCACATCACAGGGCAGAGGGACAATGTCACTGTGGCTTTGTAGTTTAGATCTAGACTAGTGATTGGTGGCTAAAAGGAAATAATTTTCCGTTCAGAATTAAAATGAATTTTCTAATTCTTAAGTTCAGTTCAGTTCAGTCACACAATTGTGTCCGACTCTTTGCAACCCCATGAATCGCAGCACGCCAGGCCTCCCTGTCCATCACAAACTCCCAGAGTTTACTCAAATTCATGTCCGTCAAGTCGGTGATGCCATCCAGTCATCTCATCCTCTGTTGTCCCCTTCTCCTCCTGCCCCCAATCCCTCCCAGAATCAGGGTCTTTTCCAACAAGACAACTATTCGCATGAGGTGGCCAAAGTGTTAGAGTTTCCTCTTCAGCATCAGTCCTTCCAATGAACACCCAGGACTCATCTCCTTTAGGATGGACTGGTTGGCTCTCCTTGCAGTCCAAGGGACTCTCAAGAGTCTTCTCCAACACCACAGTTCAAAAGCATCAATTCTTTGGTGCTCAGCTTTCTTCACAGTCCAACTCTCACATCCATACATGACCACTGGAAAAACCATAGCCTTGACTAGACAGACCTTTGTTGGCAAAGTAATGTCTCTGCTTTTTAATATGCTATCTAGGTTGGTCATAACTTTCCTTCCAAGGAGTTAGCATCTTTTAATTTCATGGCTGCAGTCACCATCTGCAGTGATTTTAGAGCCCAGAAAAATAAAGTCTGACACTGTTTCCACTGTTTCCCCATCTATTTCCCATGAAGTGATGGGGCCAGATGCCATGATCTTAGTTTTCTGAATGTTGAGCTTTAAGCCAACCTTTTCGCTCTCCTCTTTCACTTTCATCAAGAGGCTTTTTAGTTCCTCTTCACTTTCTGCCATAAGGGTGGTATCATCTGCATATCTGAGGTTATTGACATTTCTCCCGGCAATCTTGATTCCAGCTTGTGCTTCATCCAGCCCAGCATTTCTCATGATGTACTCTGCATATAATTTAAATAAGTAGGGTGACAATATACAGCCTTGACATACTCCTTTTCCTATCTGGAACCAGTCTGTTGGTCCATGTCCAATTCTAACTGTTGCTTCCTGACCTGCATATAGGTTTCTCAAGAGGTGGGTCAGGTGGTCTGGTATTCCCATCTCTTTCAGAATTTTCCACAGTTTATGGTGATCCACACAGTCAAAGGCTTTGGCATAGTCAATAAAGCAGAAATAGATGTTTTTCTGGAACTCTCTTGCTTTTTCAGTGACCCAGCGGATGTTGGCAATTTGATCTCTGGTTCCTCTTCCTTTTCTAAAACCAGCTTGAACATCTGGAAGTTCATGGTTCATGTATTGCTGAAGCCTGGCTTGGAGAATTTTGAGCATTACCTTACTAGCGTGTGAGGTGAGTGCAATTGTGCGGTAGTTTGAGTATTCTTTGGGATTGCCTTTCTTTGGGATTGGAATGAAAACTGACCTTTTCCAGTCCTATGGCCACTGCTGAGTTTTCCAAATTTGCTGGCATGTTGAGTGCAGCACTTTCACAGCATCCTCTTTCAGGATTTGAAATAGCTCAACTAGAATTCTATCACCTCCAGTAGCTTTGTTTGTAGTGATGCTTCCTGAGGCCCACCTGACTTTACATTCCAGGATGTCTGGCTCTAGGTGAGTGATCACACCATCGTGATTATCTGGGTCATGAAGATCTTTTTTGTACAGTTCTTCTTTGTATTCTTGTCACCTCTTAATATCTTCTGCTTCTGTTAGGTCCATACCATTTCTGTCCTTTATTGAGCCTATCTTTGCATGAAATGTTCCCTTGGTATCTCTAATTTTCTTGAAGAGATCTCTAGTCTTTCCCATTCTGTTGTTTTCCTGTATTTGTAATTCTTGGAGTAGTCTAAAGGTGAAATACCTAGAAAGATGCTTCATTGTCTTTAAAGGTAAATAAATAAAGATTGGGCTTCCCTGGTGGCTCAGAGGTTAAAGCGTCTGCCTGCAATTCGATGCTTGGGTTCGGTGCCTGGGTTGGCAAGATCCCCTAGAGAAGGAAATGGCAACCCTCTCCAGTATTCTTGCCTGGAGAATCCCGTGGATGGAGGAGCCTGGGTGGGCTACATTAGTCCATGGGGTCGCAAAGAGTCGGACACAACTGAGCGACTTCCCTTTAAGTGTTCCTTGTGAGATGACTCACATATCTGATGAGGATTGAATTTAAGGACTTTTTGTCTTTTCCCAACATGGAATCCTTTGTTTCACTTAACTTGTGTTGTTTCAGTAAAAACACTAGTCATTTACTCATTGTAGCACAGTGAGGGGTTCCTCATTTATGTGTGTAATGGAAAGAGCATGATTTGTGGACATAGACTTGAGTTTATGTGGACATAGATGAGGGTTTAAAACCCTCATTTGTTGTTATTTTAGTATACTTTTTGAGAGAACTCAAGTAAATTTTCAACCCTCAATTTCTTTATTTTAAAAGTGTGGGTGATATAATATTTACCTCCTAAGATTGTTGTGAATATGAAGTATGTTGCAGAGTACCTCATAGTATGCTCTACAAACATGTGTTATTAATATTAATGGTATAGTTGTGATTATTATTGTTAGACATCTTAAAATTTTGATTGATTAATTCTATTTCTAAGATTCTATCTTAAAAACTATTCATGGACACACACAAAGATTTAGCCAGAAAAATGTTTATTACAGCCCTATAATATATATTTATATAAGTAATTATTATTATAATGGAATAACACTAATACTTTTTAGTGACCAATTTTTTTTTCTGAGAATAGTGATTATGAGGAGAGTTTATTTTTATTATCTTTCTCTTTTATCCCCCCTTAATTTTCTACTGTGTATATATGTTTTTATAGTAAAGAGATTAATTATAATAAAGTATTAAGGAAGAAGTCAATTCCTCTTCTTCAGGAGTGGTTGGTCTCTGAGTGGGGTGGCAGGGAAGATGCCAGTATCAGATGAGAATACAGGTGGATAATCTTAAAGTTTCTCTGTACCCTGAAGCATTTTATGTAGTCAATGAATAGTACAGATGCTAAGTGCTACAGGAGATTAAAAGTTTGTTGGGTTGTCTGGACTGGCTTGGACTTTTGGAAATCTCTGAAATTTTTATTTGCAGAGGGAACCTGAGGAAAAAGTGAGAATAGGAAATATGAGAGGTTGCAGAAACAGTCCTGCTATCAAATTCACTGTTAATTCACCAGGAACAATAAACTGTCCCTATTGTGTGTCAGGAGATTTTTATTTAGAAATTTGAAACACACTTTAAAATTTCTCATTCTGTGATCATTTTGCAATCATTTTTCTAAGAGGCTGAGGCATCTGCTTTTGGTTTCTGGCCCTCTGCAGGGCAACATTGTGAAACTGAAGCAGCTGAATGTTGACAGGTGACTTGAAATTGTGTCAGTGACATTTATAACCTAACACTGTGCAACAGCATTTCAGTTGAGGCTTTGGTTCCCAATTTGGATATCAAGGAATAGAAAGTCCTTTATTTAATATGCATTAGACACCAGAGTTATGTCATGGAGCATGGTGGGGTGGGTAGGATGCGCAAGTCTATAGGTATTAACCAACTGATGTTAGAAATTTCTCAAAAAGAAAAGCAGTCATTACCTATACTTTGGATGTATAGGAAGATGGTAGGTGGCAATTTAGGTCCTAAAGTAAGGCAATGAGTGTCATCTTGCTGTCCAGGAACAAAGATAGAGGGGCTGGTTTTTAAATCTATTTATTTATTTGACCAAGAAAACAGGAAAGAACAGAAGAGAAAAAGAGAGCGGAATGAATTTCAGTGCTATTGGCCATGGGTAATAGTCCTTATTTAAGGACAAAAAGCTGAGATTGACAACTTAGAAAATTAACTTTGACCTTCATGTAGAGTCTCTAGAAAGTTCTTTTCCAGTGATGGTGTTGTTGTTGTTCAGTCTCTAAGTTATGTCCGACTCCCTCTGACTCCATGAACTGCAGTGCACCAGGCTTCCCTGTCCTCCAGTATCTCCTGTTTGCTCAAGTTCATATCCATGAAGTCGGTGATGCTATCTAACATCTCATTTTCTGCCACCCTCTTCTCCTTTTGCCTTCAATCTTTCCTAGCATCAGGGTCTTTTCCAGTGAGTCAGCTCTTTGCATTAGGTGGCCGAAGTATTAGAGCTTCAGCTTTAGTATCAGTCCTTCCAATGAATATTCAGGGTTGATTTCCTTTAGGATTGACTGGTTTGATCTCCTGGCTGTCCAAGGGCCTCCCAAGAGTCTTTTCCAGCACCATAGTTTAAAGGAATCAGTTCTTTGGCACTCAGCCTTCTTTAGGGTCCAACTCTCACATTCATACATGACTACTGGAAAAACCATAGCTTTGACTATACGGACCAGTGAGGGTGAGTCCTGGCTGCATGAAGAATATTGCCCCCAAAGCTGCCCCATCTTTTTTTTTTTTTCCTGACAACATCACTCTTTTTTTAAAATAGGCCCCCAAGACTGAAACACAAAGATCATCTAAGTCCAGCATCCAAGGTTCATTGCAAGTGTGGTCCCCACAACATAGGTGAGATGAAAACTTATAAACACCACTGACACAATCTCTGAACAGAATGTTGGGAAGTTAACCCCAAAAGGCCAGAGCTTCTTAAGTACTTACTGGGGAACAGATGGGACTAGCTTGATGCCCAGTAAGTGAAATGACTGATAGTCAGCCAAGAATGCAAAAACTCCTCCAGAG